TAACAATTATCTAAATACCTGCTCTGTCCCATAAAGGTGTGAACAAGACACATAGGGTCCCTGCTCTCACATCATGGGGGAGGCAAACAATGAAACCATCACTGTGAAGTACCCAGTTAATTGGGATTATAAGCCATATCATAGGGTGAGCCATGGACACGGACATCGGACTGTCATGGGTTAAGACCTGAGCCCCCGATAAAAGCCATCTCTTAGCACTTACTATGAAACAGACATTCTAAGTGCCCTCGTGTATTACATCATTGATCCTCATCAGAATCGTTTTATAGGTGAGGACACTGAGGCACAGAAGGGTTAAGTAACTTCCATGTTGCCATATAGCTTGTACGTAGCAGAGGAAGTCAGATGGCACTTCAGAAGCTGGGCCCCAGAGCCCTGTCTCTCATCCTCTGTCTTAAATTGTCTCTCCATGTGGGAGGCACTTGAGGTCCTCACTCGGAGTCCCTGCATGGTGGGATGAACCAAGTCACGTGGAAGGTGTGAACTCCCTTCCAGCTCCCGGCCTGGGACGTGGGTCACCCCTTGTCCTCATCCAGGCCTTTGTTTTGCCATCCATGTGCAGGCTCCTGTTTAGGGATATAGCCAGGGCTGTAAAGAGACTCCTAGGAACCCTGGAGCCCTGGTCAGGACCTGGGATGTACTCCGTGAGTCTTGTGCCAAAATAGTGCCTCAGATCCAGACAAGACTCAAGAGAAATAACACCATTAGTTTACATATAGTGCCATTTATTGAGCATTTTATGTATCCGGTACTGTGCTAATGGCATTACATAAATATCTATCTCATTTAATTCTTAAAACAAATAAGAAAACAACATGGTAGAAGTTACTAGTATTATTCTCTATTCTCAATTCCAACCAGGAAGCCTGGGTCTAGAGAATCTGGAGAACTTGCCTGGGGTCACACAGCTAGTAAAAGACTGACCTGCCGACCCAGCCTGGCTTCAGGAAATGCCCCTTAATCATTGTGAATCCTGCCTCTGAGTCATCTCTGAAGGAGGAAGGGAAATGCAAATATCTCTCTGTGTCTGAATGCTTGCTTTCTTTCTCCTTCTCCCCCTGACACCCCCAAGAGGAAAGATTAAAACCAAACCAAACCCCAACCATGTCTCCAAAGTGCATTGTGTTTCTTGCTTCTCCCTCCCCACCCCCACGCTGGAGATAACAAGACTTCTGTCTGAATGCCTGGGTGTTCATTTTTGTTGGGAACCTTCCAGCTCTCTAGCCAGTTTAGAAATTAATGGAGATTTCCCTTCAGCTCTGCAGACTCAGGGTCTGTCTAGCTGTCTCTCCTGTGTTGGCTTATAACACCAGAGAAGGGTCGGCGGGTGGTGGGGCTGGAGAGGAGTCCAGGATCTGAGAGTCCAGGGGAGAGTCTGGCCTTGCTGGCAACATCCCCCCCAACACACATACATACACACCCCACTTCCCCCGCGGCAAGACATTGTCAGGGAATCTGAGCACGTTTCTGGGCCCATTGCCTGCTCTGGTCTTTCAGACTTGGGACCACCTGCTTGGTTGGCCACCAGTACTTCCTTGGCGGGGACACTCAGCTGTGTTCACTGTTCTGCCCTAGATAGAGAGGTGCACTTAGTCTGCCCTGCACCCAGACCCGCCAACTCCCCGAGAAGAGGCGAGAGTGGACAGGGAGCTGAAGGAGCCCCTTGATGTGGGAAGGGAGTAGGGCTCCTTCCTCTTCTTCCCGGTGCCTCACACCCTTCCCCCAAGCACATTTCTGAGAAGTGGCCTCTTTGTGTCCGGTTGGTTGGAACTTGTCCACCATCTTGGGGCCAGTTCCTCCCTTCCCCCCAGAGTGAGAAGGAAAACATCATGAAGAACGGAGCTGAGGCATGTGCTTTGGAACCCTGACTACTTCTGAAGGACAGTCCCGGGCCTGCAGGAACAGTGGTCTAGCATCTCACGTGGCCAGGGGCCAGCGCCTGGATAGGAATGGTGGCCATCACTTCTCCAGAGGCTGCATGAGATCCTGGGTCTGGCTAAAGCCTGATGCTCCTGCCAGGAAGACCTGACAGGGGTGGGCAGAAGCTCCCCCGGACACGAGGAGAGGCCCAGTTTCCCTGTTGTCTGAAACCAGTTTCCATTTGCTTGGAAGCGGACTGACAGCATTTCCTGCTGGTTCTAACTTGGGGGTCTCTGCAGGAGGTTGGCAGTGGGAGCTGGGATTTAACACCTTGCAGGCTGGGAAGCTGCCAGTCCCCAAAGGGTGGAGGCTGAGCAGGAAGATTTCTTTTTTCGTCTCTCACACCCAAAGATCACTTCCGTAGCCAGCAGATGGGCGGATGGGGGCGATGGTGTGTGAGGTATGCAGGAAGAAGGAACGTGCACTTCAGAAACTGGGACCGGGAGTGGGGCACAGGGGGAGGGACAATGTATTTTTCCGGTGGGGTGGAAGAATCCTGCTGTTTCAAAGTGCTATGGGACGGAGCTGGGTCAGGAAGCCCCCAAGACAGCTGAGTGTACCAGCCATGACCCAGCATTGGTACTAGAAAGATCCAAGTTCAAATCCCTGCTCTGCCACCAACCACCAAGAGTTAACATTTACTAATGTGTCTTCTGAGAGCTTTCCACCCGTGATCTGATTCAAGCCTCACAAAATCATATGAAGTAGGTGCCAGCTTTATTCCCATTTGACTCGGGTTTCCTGTGTTCCCAGAGAGGAAGTAACTTGCCTAAAGCGACGCAGCCAGTGAAGACAAAGCTGAGTCTCAAACCAAGGGCTGTGGGGCTCTGCAGTCTCTGTTCTTACCCAGCGCTTTACAGTTGAAACAGTCACTTAGAGTCTCTTGACCTTCCAGCCATCTGGCCTTGAGGAAGTCACTAACTTCTTACATCCTTAGTGTTGCACGTCTGGGAAATGGGGGAGATGAACATTGTTCTCCTAGGTTTCTCATGAGCATTAAATGAGAGGATGTTGGTAAATCTTTCGGCCAGTACCTGGCCTGTGATAATACTGTCATTCATTTAATAGCTATTTATTGAGCACATGCTACAAGCTAGGGTCCATTCTAGGTGCACAATCTAGAAGAGGTCCCAGCGCCCCACTAATGAGAGTAAGCAAATGAGCTAGATAATTTCAGTTAGTCATATGTGTTATGGAGAAAAAGAAAAATAGAGTAAGGACATTTACTGTGGAGACATGAAGGTCCACTGTAGCTGGGTGGTCAAGGGAGGCCTCTTTGAAGAAGGTGTAGTTGAACTTAATTCCCAAAGAAAGGAAATGTGGAAGAAGACAAACCTTCCAGGCCAAGGGAACAGCAAGGACAAGGCCCAGAGTTGGGAACAGAAAGGAGGCCAGTTTAGCTGGGCAGAGGCCAGGCCATGAGCATCATAGGAAGGTGTTTGCATAGTGGGAAGCCTTTGGAGGATTGAATCGAGAGAGTAATGCTTTCTCGTTTGTTTATTTAAGAGGTGTCTTTGGCTTCTGTGTGGAGAATCAAATACTGGGGAAACGGATTGCAGAGAGAGATGAGGGAGGCCAGGCGGGACAAGCAGTCCCAGTGGATAGTGGTAGACGGTGCTTCCCATTGGCGGACCAGGACCGCCCCCAATAAAAATCCGAATGAAGACAGGACTTGTACAACCAACCCAGCAGTAATTTCCACAAAAGTAACAAGCATCAGACCTCACAGATTGCCAAAAGAGGAGTTTGAGCTCTTTTCCTAACATTGTATGAAGATCACCACTGTCATCCTGCTATAGAGCAGTGGCCCCTGATGTTAGTATTTTTCTTTTAAACAATGAGAACTTATACTTTGGAGGGGTTATTGACTCTCACTGCATAGCTTAACTTTATGAGGTCAAACTGGATTTTGGTACAGAGCAGGGTTAGGCAAACTTTTTCCGTGCATGGCCAGAACCATTCAACTGTGCCACTCTCCACAGCTGTAGACCAACCATAGACAAGGCATTAAAAATGGGTGTGGTTCTGTGCCAATAAAACTTTATGTACAAAAACAGGCAGTGAGCCACATTCAGCCCATGGATTATAGTTTGATGTTTCTGGTAGGAGATATCACCTATTTATATGGCCCAGATAATTTCTTTTTTCTATAAAACCAATTTGAGACATTTCCCCCAAATCCTTCTGTAAAACTAGGGTGCATATCACGCACCTGTGCTTAACACTAGAGAATGTGATGTAAGTTAATGATGACTCAGCCCAGTGGTTTCTTGATGATTCTTTGGAGGTAACTCAGGGAAACCAAGGTGATAGTGAAGGAAGAGGGCTTTGGACCCCCACAGCTCAAGCAGGAGAACTTCTTGGATGCATTCTTTTTTTTAATTGGCAGCTTTCAAAAGAATTTGAGCTAGAAAGCAAACAAACAAAACCAGTAATCCAATTCAAATGGTTGAAGATCATGTTTCTCTTCTGGTCTCCTGGATTAGGGACACATTAATTACATAACTGCCTATAGAACAGACTGACACATACCTTTTCTAACTGGATGGAAAGGGGTGAGGAAAGAGTTGCTTTGGGGTCATATCTGTGGGGTAGAGGATGTTGAGGGGACACAGGCCAAGGTTCTTATGTAGTTTGAGGCTTCAGACAAATACCACAGTATCTACTTTCAAAGCGTCTTAGGGCGGCGCCCGCAGGTTGGCCTCCGGCACTTTTGGAAAGGCAGGATGGTAGAGTGGCTTGGACTTTACAGTCAGACACAGGTTTGAATCTCTGTTCTACTGTCTTTATTGGCGAGACAAGCTATTTCTTTAACCCTCTTGTTATGCATTTTCCCAGCTGGAAAACTGGAATAATATTACTTCCTTTTTCAAGCTCTTGGGTGAATTAAATGAATTAATCTACGCAAATTGCCTAATGCATTGCCAGGTGCTTGAGAAAGTAATTTCCTTCTCCACTCTGTTCTCAGGGGTGTGGGGGGAGCTCAAAGGATTTTTGAGATTTTCTACCCTCTCTTTCCTGTTGAATCCAATTTCCATGCCCCAATCTTCTCTTCCCAGGATGTGGCCAGGTTCTGCGAGCCTCAAAGGGTCAGATTTTGTTGGAGAGCTACCCCCTAAATGCTCATTGTGAATGGACCATTCATGCCAAGCCTGGGTTCATCATCCAGCTAAGGTAAGGGGCTACAGTCAGAATTAGGGAGTTTGGGGTTATAAGGAAACACGGTAAGAGGACTGAACACCCTAGATCCCAGTGACCACAGGCTAACCATCTGTATTTTATTCTTAAAAGCAGGTAATGTTGGGTACCTGGGTGGCATAGTTGGTTAAAGTGTCTGACTCTTGGTTTTGGCTCAGGTCTGAAATCGGGGTCATGAGATTGAGCCCCAAGTTGGGCTCCCCACTTGGCACAGAGTCTCGTGAGTTTCTCTCTCTCCCTTTCTCTGTGTACCTCCCCTACTTGCACTCACTTGCTCTGTTTCTCTCAAATAAATGGATATATCTTTAAAAAATAAAAAAGAAGCTGGATATGTACACTAGAGCCTTTTTTTTTTTTTTTTAAACCTCTTGGCAATTCCATGGGATGAGGCCTGGTCAAAACCATAGCCAGTTATATGTTATATGTTTGTCATTCACTGCCCTATAATGGTGGGGGGGGGGGGTTGTGGGTTTAGGGAATTTTGACCCAAGCATAATATCAACAAAGCAAAATACTAATAGCCATCTACCCAACCCACAAATCTCGACCAAGTCTTTCTACTCACCCAGTACTGGACTGGGTTCTGCAGGAGGAAAGGGAAGAAATAAAAGGCACAGATCTAATCTTCAAGGAATTTATACTCCAGATTGAGGTTTATGCTCATCAGCTCCTTTCACTGGTAGTCTCAGGAAACAACCACCACCCCATAACGAATGAACCCCATTTTCACGCTTGTGTAAGAGATAAGCCATTTCTTCTTATGGAGCTTTGGCGTCCTCACAAATATTTAATTTATGCCATAGTACAAAGTACAGACCCAGTTTTATGGTAACACAAGATAAACAACACAAGAGAGGCCTGTTCTATGAGAACTGTTCACTGTTGCCTCCTAGGGCCGGGAACAGCCAGAGTATCATCAGGCTGATGTGTTTAATGGGGCCGTACATGGCCCAGGAGCCTGAGAGATACTTGCTGTGTGAATAAATGTCGAAAGAACTTCTCCCTGCCGCCAGTGGATCTCCTCTCTCCTGACAAATACCTCTCCTTTTCCTCTCCAGGGAAATGGAGTGGCCCATTCCCCTCTGGGATTTCTAGGGACATTGTCCACTTACTTCTTTCCTTTCTACCCAATAATGAAGTTGGCAGTGATGGAAATCCCTAAAATCCAAGGGCACATGTTTTCAATAAGTATTTTCTGGATGGATCAATGGAGTTTTCCACATTCCAGCTGGCTCCTCAGATGGCTCTCTGTCCTCCAGGAGGGGCAGCATATGGCACTCTGCCTTGGAACAGGTCCCCTTCTCAATTCTCCTCACCAGAGCTGGCCCTCAGTGGCTGATCTTCCCATTTCTTGAGGATCTGGAGTTGGGAATGAGTATCATTAATTGAACTTTTCTAGAACGAGGTTGGCATAAGGAACACCTGAGGGGTCACACCGTTCTGTTAAGGGGCTTCATGTGGGGGTCTGCCAAGGATGATAAGGGCAGGTGTTAAATGCCACATATTAGTTCAGCACCTTAAGGACCAGGCCAGTGGTCCCCTTAGGGGCCTCTGAGGAGCCTCTCCAAGATCCAAGATGCAAAGGAAATCTCTCCGAAACAAAAATCGAAACTGGTGGTGGTGCTCCTAGGCATGTCACATGCCTAGGAGAGGCCCCTAGGGAGGCTTGTAAATATACAGATTTCTTCTCCTTCATCAAACCTGGACCTGTTGGCCAACGGTAATAATAACAGAAACACATGCACATTTACAATGGTCAGAGCAAAAGCTGAGTGGTCATTCCTGGTGCCCCCCACTTCTATCTTTCTATCTATCACAAAATCTCTCTTCTTACATGTAAAATCATCTCACATCCATCTACTACGGACTCTGATGCCACGATTCTCCTTTTACCACCATCCTCTCTCACCTTGATTCTCTCATAGCTTCCTGACTGGCTTCCATGTTTCCATACTTGCCAGCTCTGCTGTCTTCTCCTTGACAAGAATGATCCTATAAAATCCTAAATCCAATCATGATTCTGTTGTCGAAAACCCCCTGCTCATTCCTATCAGTCTTGGAATAAAATCTAGACCCCTCCCCATGCAGGATCTGGCTCCTGCTTGCCTTGCCGACCTCAGTTCATACCACTCTCCCCTTTACACTCCATTTTGCAGCATCCCTGACCTTCTTTCAGGTCCTCAAATATGCCAAACTCATTACTGCCTCAGGGCCTTTGCACTTATAGAGCCCCCTGCCTGGACCTCTCTTCCTCATGACTTTCATATGGCTGGGTCTATTTCATCATGTAAGCATCTGCCCAGATATCAAGTTCACAGAGAGTTCTTCCCTTGACCACATTGTATGAAAAGCTTACCCTCCCTAGTCACATTTTATGCTCTTACCTGGCTTATTTTCTTCACAGCACTTACTACTCTATGAAATTACCTTGTTTTCTGGTTTCCTTGCTTATTGTTCGTCCCGCAGATCAGAACTACTCTCTGTTGGGGCTGGCACTAGTTGGGTGGGTCTAGTTGGATCCCTGCTGTGCTTTCAGCACCTAGAACAGCGCCCACCACAGATGGATATTAAGTACTTGGACAAATGAATGTACAGCTACAACTTGCAATATCCCATGTTTTGGTTTCAGACGTAAGCTGTGATCTCTGTTGTGTGGTGGCCTTCTCCCTTTGCCTTCCCTTTTCAGACAGACACCAACGTCCAGAGAAAGAATGGATCTGCCAAGGCCCACCGCAAGCTAGCGGTGGCATCTGGGTGAGAAGTCAGGTCCGTAGATGTTAGACTACTTTGCACGAGGCATGATTAATGGGCCATATTGTCCCTTACAAAAGGTTTTGTGATAAAAGTTTTGTAAAATAAATACTAGTTAAAAGGTGTCTTTTTAGGAAGACCTTTAAATGTATTCAAAATATATTGATTGTCACTGTGGTCCAGTGTTCTTTAATCCTGGCACTTGAACTTTTTACCCCAAGTTGTAGAAATAGGTCCTTGTCCCAGCATCTCAGGTGGCAATTCTGAGCTCTTCTGTCTGTTCTTAATTCTTCTTCAAAACATGAGGGAGAATATACAGATATACATTCTGTGACCTTGACACCAAAGCATTCCCTTTGGAATAATCTGAAAAGTGGCTTTTCCTCTCATTGTCTGGGATGTGGCTGCCTCCTATCCTGTCTCTTGGAATTGTATGCTTGGGTCATCCTCTGTTCTTTGGATCTGATGTATTTAAGTATTTCCAAACCCAAGACCATTTAAGGCAATTATAGATTTACCAGATCTCCCCCAGTTCTGAAATTCTGATATAGTGCCACCTTTTTTACTCTTTGGGCAAGAATTATTGTTACCCAGAAGATCACTGCCTTCTCATCCTTCCATCAAACAGAGGAATGTGTAGAGATTTTGTTCTTCTTCTTTTTTTTTTTTTAAAGATTTTATTTATTTATTTGACAGAGAGAGATCACAAGTAGGCAGAGAGCCAGGCAGAGAGAGGGGGAAGCAGGCTCCCTGCTGAGAAGAGAGTCCAATGCGGGGCTCAATCCCAGGATCCTGGGATCATGACCCGAGCCAAAGGCAGAGGCTTTAACCCACTGAGCTACCCAGGCACCCCTGTTCTTATTTTGAGTTTTGCAAGACAGTATGTCCTTTTTCCATCCTCCAGTTGTAAAATTAGACCATCGTATCCATTCAACCAACTATTCACCAATATTTGCTTGGCATCCCTATATGCCAGACACTGTGTTGGGCAGTGTGCAAACAATGGTGGAAGAAGCCAGCTGTTTTCCCCTACACTCAAGAAATTTACAGCCTAGTGGAAGTGATAGTGCTTGCAGACACACACACACACACACGCAGACAAAATCAAGCACATAAATTAAAATTTATATACCGATTATGAAGAAAACAGGGGATCTCCTTTAGAAAGCGTTGTCAAGGAAACCTCTTTGAGGAGAGACTATTTACGGGGAGGCCTGAGGATAGGAAGGAACCAGCCTTGAACCCTGGGAGGAAAGTGACCCTGGAAGAGAGGCCGGCATGTGCAGAGATGTTCTGGGTGGAATAGGGACTCCCTTGGCCCAGGCAAGCACACACACACACCGGTGTCCCTCTGCTAAAAGGGACATTGACCTCACACTGTCCAGGCCCCTTCTTCTGTCCAGTGAGGCCAGTGGCACCGCTCCTCTAAGACCTGTTCATCATCTGACCTTGAACTTGCTCTCGGATCGCAGGAGGGGCTGGAGCACACCTGTTTCCTGTTGTTCCCTCTCTGCCCACAGGTTCGTCATGCTGAGCCTAGAGTTTGACTACATGTGCCAGTATGACTACGTGGAGGTCCGCGATGGCGACAGCAGCAGCAGCCAGATCATCAAGCGCTTCTGTGGCAACGAGCGGCCAGCGCCCATCCACAGCACAGACTCTTCACTCCACATCCTCTTCCATTCAGATGGTTCCAAGAATTTCGATGGCTTCCATGCCATCTTTGAGGAGATCACAGGTAAGGGCCATGGAGGCAGATGTAGCATTTTACGGCTGTGCTCCTGGCAGACGTTTCCTTTCTGTGCTCCACTCCTTCTCCCTGCTTAGCCTGATTAAAGCCCTCTGTGCTGGGTTCTTGGAAGCAACCGACATGTTGCAAAGGAAGAAGGAGAGGCAGGTGTATTTCAGAAATGTTCATCCAGAGGCTTAGCTAGTTACTATGGATGCCTTTGTACACACGCTGGAGCAGAGGGAGGCCAGGCCGTGTGTCCAAGGTCACAAAGCAGTTGGCTCAGCCTAGGAGGCCTCTCCTGTTTAAGGGCATTAGCTTTGGAGCTCTGGCAGATGAAGCTGTGTGACCTGGAGTAAATTCTTCAACTTCCCCAGGCCTTGGTTTCCCAATTGGCGAGTAAGGAAGAAAGCATAGATCCTGATCCAGTAAGGAGGTTCTGGGAGACGAAGGAGATGAAGAGCTTGGCACAGTGTCTGGTACATAGGACATGCTCCGTAGCTGCCCAACCACTGGGGTGCCCTGGGCCTCCCCCATTATTTGCAAAACAGGCATTAACAGTGTTTTTCTTGGTGGTAAATGGCACTCACTTTGTGAGTAGCTCTAGGCCTGACTTGAATGCCTGCCCTGTTCACATCAGGAAGTAGGATCGGACCAAAATTAGCAAAACATGCAATCCTAGGGAAGGACACTCAGCTCTCGCTGTTCTGAGATTGGACTGGATCTGGCTTTCCAGACCAAGCTCAGGCTTCAACTTCTGTTTTTTTTTTTGTTTTTTTTTTTTTAAATACCCAGTTAGGCATTGTAGTGGTATTTTGATTGCTGTGGCTTCCTACGGAAGGTGGGATACCAAAGCCTCAGGAAAGGCAGTGGCAGCAATGGGATGGGGAGGTGTGGTTGGGGTCAACCTTCTTCAGCCTTGTCCTTTCAGCAGATGCCCCTCCCCACCCACCCCACCTGCCTTTCCCTTAGACTGTCTCCCGTGAGCACTCAGCCGTTGCTGCTCATCTATGGGCCCGCTGTCTTCAGAGGATGTCCCCTGTGGAGCTGTGCAGGCTTGAGGGTTCTGGTGGCTGTGATGCTGTGGTATGGGGAGCTGGGTCAGCCTGTGGCTGGTCCTTACCCTTGGGAATACATGGCCAGCCACAGATGGGTAAGGGCACACTTGAGGCACGTATGGGGATCCTGGTGGCAGTCAGCAAGGCTGGATGTCAGGGAAGCCAGGAGAAGCAGTAGTGGCTCACCAGCCTGTGACCCTGGGACTGGGAGGGTCAGGAGGGTCTCTTCCTCCTTGGAAGGGGGCTTCTCAGCCCCTGCCAGAGAACTTTGGGAAATGCTGGTCTGTGTTGTCAAGTAGAAGGTAGCACTTCCGGTTCCTCAGACACCCCGTTCATGTGCTTATACTTGGGCTTTTACCTCATGCTAAGGTGAACTCCTCCACACCTGCCTACCCAATCCCAGCCCTCAGGGTGTATATCCCATGCGTTTTCCTCTGCTAACCCTTTTCTCTTGGAGTCCTTATGGGAGGGGTAAAGGCGTGCCTCTGCCCTAATCACGTGGTGTACCTATTTGTGTTGGCGTTAGACTTTTCCGACTATAGGACCATACTTCTGGGGCCCTCAAAAATATCAAATAACGAGATACCTACCTGTTTTAGGCATTCTCAAACAATGCTAACAGGAATCCAGTAAAAGAAAGTATTGTAAGATGAAGACTTGAATAGGCAAGCGAAAGACTCTGGTCAAGGCTCCGGGCTTGAAGAAATTTACCTCACCGCTCAATGACCCTGAGGGAAATTGCCTTTTCTCTTACAGCATGTTCCTCTTCTCCCTGTTTCCATGATGGTACTTGCCTCCTTGACAAAACCGGATCTTATAAGTGTGCCTGCCTGGCAGGCTACACCGGGCAGCGCTGTGAAAATCGTGAGTATGCCTCTGGAGTGAGAGTTAGGGTGTCCATGGGGCTGGCATGGAGAGGGCTCTGGGAACTTGAGAAGCCTATTGTTGGTGATTAGGTTGGTCTGTCCAGGGTGGCACATAATGTGGACAATCCCATCGAGGGTTTCTCGGGGCTGGGCAGCCTTTCTGACTCAGGGTGTCTGGAACCACCCAGGTCTTCCCATTGACATTTCCAGACCTCCCCTGCTGCTTATACCCCTCAAAAAATATGACTTTGATGGCCTCAGATCATATTCAGAGCTCAAAAACATGGAAGAAGGGCCAACAGGAGAAAGCCATCATCATAGAGGCTCCTGGGGCTCTCATCTGAACTCCCTGTCCATGGTAAGATCTGAAATTTGGAGGTCTGCCCCAGGGTAGCATTCATAGACTCTGGGATGTTGTTGCGTGGTCTGAAGCCATTGGCATAGAGGAACTCAGCACTAACCGGAAGTCATTTCTCAGGGGTCTCTGGTAACCAAGCCTTGGATGTGACACATGTTCTAACAGAGATTTAAGACCTCACACAGATGTCATGAACTATAGCTCTCAGTGCAGAGGGAGATGGGCAGAAGAATGAGAAGGTTGAAAATTTGGGGGCAAGGCAAAGAAGGACAGATAAGAACCTAGGTAGGGTTTTCCCCCAGCAGATCCTGAGTGATGAGTGTGGGTGCAGGTGGTATATTAGGACACGGTCCCAGAGATGCTGGCAAGAGAGTGGGGAAGCTGGGCTGGGAAGGGAGGGAAGCCAAGCAAAGGTGTGATTTCAGGCAAAATCCAGCCTCAGTGGAATCTGGCATGTAAATTACATCTCTGAGTGTGTCCTGGCTTTGTAGCAAGGCAGCTGTGCTTTCATAGCCTCCCTGAGACCAGCCATTGGCCAAGAGCTGCCCTGGGTGAGTAGGAGAGCATGCCTGACTTACTACACCTGTGGGCAGTGTGGTTCCAGTAAATCCTTGAATAATCAAAGAGATCTCAGGTGAAGGCAATTGGAAGCAAAACAGTGTAGAGTGGAGGATGGGGAAGGCAAGGAGCATCTGAGGGCAGATCACCAGCAAGTCTGCTACTATCATAACTATCATACATAGGTACTTCGGGGTCATTCTGTAAGACATCCTGGTCTGGTAGCATTCTATACTTCTCGCTTATTTTTCAGTCAATTTCATGACTTTTCCTTGTAAACAAGGCAGACGGAAGCCAGGGTGTCACCAGTGTGTCCCCGGGTGTGTCACTGCATTCTTCCGAAAGCATCCCTTGCTTCGGCTTGGTGCAGCCGACCTGGTGTGGTTATGCCCGGTGCTTAGAAAAAGATGTTCTGCTTCATGGTTCCTGCCTTGTTTGAATCTGCTATGTTGTGTGCAAGGCAGAGAAGAGAAATGCTGCTTTCTCTTTGTTTTAAAAATGTGTGTATAGAGCGAATCTGGAATCTTGACAATGGCAAATCCTGGGCTTTACCCTTTAAATTTAGAGGGAGAATAAAAGGAGGGGAGGGAGAGGCTTAATTTCTTGATGAACTAACTGATTGCACAATAACTAGAGCTTTGAAAAACAAGGTGAAATTGGAGACAAGTGAAATATCACCAAATAAGCCAAAATGCTTTAAGAAGCTGGGTCAAATCAGGGCAGCGGTAAAGAATGGGGGGTGGCGGCAGGGAGAGAAATTGATCAAAAGTTGTGACTAAAATATTAAGGAGTTGCTTACAAGTCAAACATTGACTTCTTAGCATTGTCATTCCATCCAGAGAACAAAGGAAAACAAAGCAAACATGGGTAATGAAAAAGAATGTAAAATGTGTCATTATGAGCTGATTCATAACCTGAGTCATGAACTGTCTCAAATCACTTCTGGTCTCAGAACACCAGCCTAGATGGACAAGAGAACTCCCTCTAGCCACTTTTTAAACCGTCACTCAAAAACCAAAATTCCCTTAGTGTCTTGTAGTTGTAACTAGGTGAGGGTATTGGTGGTGGATATCTGATCATTTGCTGACATTCATGTGGGGGACCAAATGTTTTATTATTTTTTATAAGATTTAGATTTGTTTTTCCTTCTAGGAAATTCAGAAGGAGTTCCAGCTAACTCAATAAGGGAAGCATCACGAAAATTGGCTGTGGCAGTTTACCTTGTAAACTGTAAACCAAAACCTTAGTGGTTTTCTAGAGTAACCTATTAGCTAGAAAAACAGAAGTGTTGGGGGGGTGATATTTACTTTGTTGTTTTCTTCATGAGGATACCACTGAACTGGAAAAAGATCCCTGGAGGAAATTGCTTCAAAATGAACAAGAAACTCGAGTATTCTGGGATTCTCTAAACTTTAAAAAGCCCAAATTGAACCAGGCATTTGTTTTACAAAATCACTTTAAAAGCACCAAATCAAATATGAATGAGAATTCCATCTTTTATTGAAGCGGTACCAGATCTGATGGGGGGAACTGCTTCATAGATGCTGCCTTAACGGTCTGCCCTCCCGAAGTCTTGTAGGAAGGTGGATGGATGTTCCTTTTAGCAGATAAAGGATTTAGCAGATAAAACAGAGAACACAAGTCACCAGTCCCCATCAGCTTCAAAACTCAAGGCTAGAATTTCACAGTTCCCATACTGTTCACTGTTTCCCAGACACGGTTCTCTCCAGCTGAACAATTGACAAGCTCTGGGCATGTCAGTGTGTCCCATTATCTAGTCCTCTCAAAGGACTTTTCCTCCCCAGGTAAGCTCTGCCTGTCGCTCTTTTCCAAAGAGAATCGCGATTCTCTGTCTCTTGGTTTAAGCTTTTCTCACTCTTTTCTCAGTATATATTTAAGAATGTGAGTGGGACTAGAATAGAAATAGATTTTCTGCTTACTTACAGAAGAAAGATATATGTTTAAAAATAATCAAACAGTCCAGCAATATATCAAGTGAAAAAACACATTATTTCCCTTGACCCATCCTGGTTCCCAGTGGAATCACTGTTATTGTGGTCCTGCTGGACTTTTTTCTATGATGTGCAAACCCAAGTTGTTGATAAATCAGTATCTTAAATCACCGATTCTTTGTTGGGATTTTAGCTCCTATTCTGGCCCTCAGGGGCCTTTGGCAACATCTAGAAACATTGTTGATTGTCCTCATTGCAAGGTGGGGAGGCTACCTCTGGCATCTAGAGGGTGGAGGCCAGCCATGCAGACCCAGACCAGAGAGTTATCTGGCCCAAGAGTCAGCCATGCCCAATTTGAGAAACCAGGTTTCAGACAAAAGTGGATTAAAGTATACAGGCAATTTTTCAACTTGTTGTTTTCGGTCCCTGCCTCAAGGACATTTTCCCCACGCCAGTCCATGTTGGCTTACTTCATTAAAAACAAGTGATTTTCTGAGTATTCCCCTGTAGGGATGTGTATACCATCACATACGCTCATCTAATCCCTTAAGATGGACTTGATCCCATACTTAATTTCTTACTCTAAAGAAAGGAGCGATGAGTATCCTAACACCGATTTCTTGATTCATGTGTTAGAGGTATTTTTGTAAGAGAAATTTCTGGATGTTGAACTGTTAGTTCAAAGGGTCCATAAATTTAAACTCTGAAGAGGAACAGCCGAAATGGTCCCCAAAAGGCTTCACCAGTTTACAAGATGAGCCGTTACAATCACCGGCCCTCAAAATAAGAATCAGAACTCACATTTGAGAGATGAGGGTCTCTTCTTGTCAAGTTGAGAATGGACTTATTTTCAAAGGAAGGTGAATGGGTCTGAGGGAAGGTCTGGTGCCCGGACTCCCTGGAGTAGTAAAGGAGGAGGAAGAAGCGACCTGCACAGGTCTGGCTCATTTGGTCATCAAGAGGCTGACGATCCCCAGTGCGGTCTGTATCGCTGCTACCCCAGATCTCTCCTCCTGGTGTTTCCCAAGGGGGAGCAACCTTCCTCTGCTCCCAGGTGACCTCCTCTGAGAGCAAAAAACAGGGAGTTGGCCCCTCCTCAGCTCTGGGGCCAAGCTAGCCTCCTGCCAGCACCCTCGGTGACCCCAACCTCCCTGGGCCACCGTGTAAGGAACCACGGGTTCCCCCACAAGTTGTTTTTTTTTTTTTTTCCTCCTCTCTGAAGTTTCCTGTTTCTTTGTATGGACACAAGGACAAAATAAGTTCTTGAGTAAATGGTGGGAATCTTGTTTTGTACCAGTGGAAAGCGAGGGATTCATTGCCCCGCTCCAGTTTCCATGTTGCCTTTGTTCCCCTGGCCCAGTTATCAATGCCTGGGCTTTCCCTTGCATCCTAATGAAGGACGATGAAACGGGCTAAATCTTGGGGCACAAAGCTCACACTGCAGGCTCTGACGCGCCTTGAACAAAACAAATCGGCTTCCACCAATTAAAGAACACTGGGGAATCCGGATTCCTTTGGGGTTTGGAGCGTCAGGTTTCCCACTAGCCTGTCCCAAGGACTGGGAAGAAAGAGCCCCAGAGGAGGGGTTCACTTTATACTTTAGCTTCAAAGGGGCAACCGCATTTCTCATCAGAATAAGTGATTAGGAACTTCGGGGTTTTCATGGGAACCGTAACCCTGGCCCAGTGGGAATGCGCCGAGGCCGCCAGTGGGTCAAGATCACCTCTCCTGTTGCAGACGGGAGATGACGGGCTGTGGTGGGATGCGTGCGGATTGTCCTAAGAGCTCTCAGGAGCGGCGTTGTAAACACGAACTGTGTCCTGGCTTTCACACCGTTCCAAGGGCCAGTCTCAGCCTTAATTTACAGAGGACAGGAGCCTCTTTGTCCGTAGTGGGATGGTACGTCCTGGGGTGAAGAGCTAGGGCTCTCTGGGCAGAGAGACCTGGGTTTGACTCTCAGCCTGATGTTTACCAGCCAGATGACCTGAGCAGCCCGTTTCCCTCCAGCGGGCCTCAGTTTCCCCATTTATAAAGTTCAGAAAGATAATACCACATATTTCTCAGAGCGTGTGTGGGGAACGGAATGAAATAATCCTTACATGTAAGGCGCTGAGTTGAGTCCCAGGAGCC